TTCGGTGCGAGTAAACTGCGTTCGATAATACAGGGCCTACTGATGATAAAGTCACTTTCCATTTTTCTTAAATCTCTATAAATGTAAATAAAATAATTCTAACATATTTCGAAAATATTCCGAGCTGTAAAAAGAATGTAACTAAAAAATGTCATAGAATTCTTAATAAACCGTAACTTATTGGCCCGAAAGGTCCGGACTACCTGACTCGCAGCTCGAAGTGGGTTGTGAACACTCGTGCACCCCGCACAAAGCGACAACGGAGGTAGAACTTTGAGAAAACCTTAAGCAAATATGCTTACCAGTATGCTGAGTGTTTTAGGGGTCATGAAGCCATGTAGCCCGACTGCCATTATTAGCAGACCGTCTGTTGAAACAGTCGGATGAAGTTAGTTTTCTCATGGGGCAAACGTTCCCGCCGAACCACAACCATCGTCAAGCCTAAATCTTCACAGCACTGCAGTCTAATGCTCATCGCCGAAACTTAGCTGTTCGACAAAGCGTGTAAAGTCTTCGCTTCGTGATTGGCTGATACCTTATCCATTCAGCAAGCTCCGCCGAGATGAAATACGTTCGCGCGCTTAGTATACAAACGTAATGTGTTTATTAAAGATAGAACTTGCTGAGGCTAATTAAAAGTAACAAAAAGAGCAATTAGTTCCTACTAATATTTGATTATTGATGACGTAGCGCCTGTAAAAGGCTTACAGAAGTTTCATAATCAGTCGTGACCCCAGTTTTTTGTAAACTGGCAATGAGACATATAATGAGACTCAATCTAAAGTTACGGCATTAGCTCGGGGGATCAACAACATTTCAGGGGTCTCGGCCCCCTGTCCTGCCCACCGCTAACTCCCCTCCTGTTCATAATAGACACACTTGCAGCGATCAGCTACTATTGTTCTGCATTAAGCACATAAATGGTCAAATTCCAAATAATTAAAGGTCATTTATATACAAAAAAGACAAACGAAATAGCCTTGTTCGTAAATAAAAGTGATTTTCCTGTAAAATATTTTCAGTTAATGACAAAACATTGGTGGTAGAATGTGCTGGAACCATAAACTCATCGATTTACCAAACACCTTAAATTATGTCGGAACATTTGTGGCCACTCATCAAAAAATCTGCTTGTTGTATCATGAATCTAATAACTACAAATAGCCTATGAACAAAGTTCGACTCTATACTTGTGAAATAAAAAATGTAGATACTAAAAACCGTTGTACTGTAATCTATATATTTGTCACTTACCTGTTTATCGACGTACGTAGAAAATTAAAGGCTCAAGAAAAAAAACTTTCTACTTTCCAACTGCTGATACATTATTAACCAGCATTGAGGTTTATTGTATAAAGTGGAAACATGAGAGACCTTGAAGGATTATTTAATTGTTGATAGATTATTTTACATATTGTTATTTAGTTCAGGGTTTATTATGATAGAGTTCATTAGTTATATGTCGAAGTTGTGTTGTAAACTGAAAGATTTCTTGGAACTTGTCAACGATTGAGTCAGAAATAAATACATAAGGCAGGAGAAAACTTGTCAATGTGGTAAACTTGGTTTAGTATTATGAAGTTGAAACTCATTAGTTAGTATTATATATTTATTTGTTGAATTTTGCGCAAAGCTACTCTAGCCGTCCTTAATTTTGAAGTGATAGGTTTATAGAGTGTATTATAAAAGTTGTTAAGTTTAAAGTGACGAGAAATATACTGACAGTGGAATTACTGTGTACTAAAAGTTTGTATCGAGAAAGAATAAACTGGTTTAATTAAGAAAGGACTTTTATCGCTGAAGTTCCTCGGAAGGAATTTATACCGGAAATTAACAAACAAGCAGATATGCAATAATATGATACACATTTTTTTTTCGTCGCTGCTTAACTTGAAGGTAATTGAGTTGCTTGTTTTATCTCGGTAATATATACGTATTTATCACTATTCTATGTAGTCTCAAATAGTCAGTGCTGCATGTATTTTCTTTATCTAAAGTGCAAATTAGGTTTTAAATATAAAATCTTTATCTTGATGGTGACGTTACACTTCTACAATTATTGATGGCACTGTAAAATTTATCATCCCACCATTGATGATTAGCATTTTTTTTTATATTAAATTTCACACAAGACTATTCGAGGTCTATTTGCGCTAACCATTTCTAATTTAGAAGTGATAGGTTGGAAGGAAGGCAGCTAGTCAACGCCACCCACCGCCAATTCTTGGACTACTCTTTTAGCAGCAATTAGAAGGATTTACCGTTACATGATAATGCCTCATATCTGAAATGGTGAGCATGTTCTGTGACGGGATTCGAATCTACGACTCGCAGATTGCGATTTGAATGCCTTAACCACATTTGATTATTAATAGAATATTTTACAAGTTGTTTCAATACCAAGCAGTTTTGGTAAAGATACCGCTCGTTAGTTATGTGTCGAAAATGTATTGCAAACTCACATATGTTAAGAAAAGTTCCTAATAGAAAAGCAATTTTTTTTCCACTGTTGAAAGGTGAAACAATATAATCTTAACGGTAATTCACTCTGATGTGAAACAAAAGTATTTCCACTGGTAAAAAAATTAATATGGAGTGACTTTGCCTTGGAGATTTCAAATTTATTTTATCGAATATGTGAATTGAAGATTAAGTTTTTTGGCTGTTAAAAAGAAGAAGAAGAATATGGGGGGGGGGGTGTAATTTAACCTTAAAAGTCTTAAAGGGAATTCAATTCGAACGTGCGAGTTGGAAATGAGTCTGTCACCGTTGAAAGGCGAAGGTGGGGTGAAATATTCCTGCTGTTGAAAGGCGAAGATAGAGGTGAAATCTTTCTACTGTTGATAGGCGAAGAAATGAAAAAGAAGTAATTTTACATTGGGGATCTCAAACGGAATTCACTCCAAAGTATGAGTTGAAGAGGCAGTAATTTTGTGTTGGGGTTCTTAAATGGAATTCACTCCAAAATGTGAGCTGAAGATGGAGTAATTTTACATTGGGGATCTCAAACGGAATTCACTCCAAAGTGTGAGTTGAAGATGGAGTAATTTCATGTTGGGGATCTCAAACGGAATTCCCTCCAAAGTGTGAGTTTGAAAATGGAGTAATTTCATGTTGAAGGTCTTATTGGGTTTCTTTTTCTGATCTTAAATAGATATCTAAATGGCTGATGAGACTACTTCGTCAAGACGACATGGAAATTAAATGTTTAATCTAGATGAATACAAAACGCATACAAATTTGCTATACAAAGATTAATTAA